GACATGGGTTGCTACTATTGCTCATATACATATGCACACTCTGCTTCCTGCTTATATATTGTCACAATGACCATGCTTCTGTGTATTCTCTATAAGGCAATAAATTAACCTCAAAAGTCATTAAACCATTTGTTTCCTATTCCAATTTACATAAATCTCACAGCCAAAAATTAAAAAATTTATTAATATCTAACTACACATTTGTTGTATTTTTACAATGGCTGTTCTTCACTGCTTTTTTTTTTTTATTGTGGGTAAAAAAAAATTTCTACAGGGTCTGTATCACTTACTAGGCCTCCGCACATGGCCATTTTGATGTATCTGGCCATATTTCCAGAGGCAGGAATCAGTAGATTCTTGCAGCTGGAATCGACGGGCATTGACTAGCACTAGACTAGTTGATAGGTTTGGTGGTTTAAGGTAATACTTTATATTCTAAAATACGTAGGGCGGTGTCCTCTCCTAAAACAAAATATCTCAGTGCCTCCAGCCGTTAGAAATACGGCAAATATTTTTAATGAACCGAATAATTTTGGACACTTAATAATTTGATTCACTACTTAATAATATACCTGAGTCCTTTAGCCAGTATGATTTCAGTACCATATGACAAAAGAAAATTTTTTTTTGCCTTTTTGATAAATTAAATAAATACATTTTAATTATATACAAAATTTTTATATATATATTAATACAAAACGCAAAAAATACTGTGATAAATGTATACCTTGTACTACAATCTAAAATATGATATGCTAATTTCTATATGGGATCTTACAATATCTGATTTAATTTAAAAGAAAACATATAAAATTTTATAGGTAAAAGTTAGAAACCCATTAGACTTCAGAATTATTTCTAATTTCTCGTGCCATAGAGAAAAAGAAAAGTATTCTCTGATAAATCGCACTACAACAACACTACAATTTAGTTAATAAATCTCTATAATCTCGATACTATTCAAACAGTTATGTTGATGATAATTATGAGAGAGTGAGCGTCACGGGGCCAAAACCAGAGTGTGGACCACAGTGTGGCGGTGGAGGCAGCAGCAATGGGAGGCCATACAGCACCCTATGACAAAAATGGAAACCACCAGCAGTGTGAGGAGACCTGAAAGTGGCACATGGCAGAGTGTGGCGATAGAGACAGCAGCAATGGGAGGCCGTACAGGGACCCATGACACACTCTGGACCTGGCAGCAGCATGAGGAGGCGGTACAGGGGCCCATGATTACGGGCCTGGCAGCAGCATGAGGAGTCGGTACGGGGGCCCATGGCAGATTACGGGCCTGGCAGCAGCAATGGGAGGCCGTACAGGGACCCATGACACAACTCTGGACCTGGCAGCAGCATGGGAGGCGGTACAGGGGCCCATGACAGATTACGGGCCTGGCAGCAGCATGAGGAGTCGGTACGGGGGCCCATGACACACTCTGGACCTGGCAGCAGCATGAGGAGGCGGTACAGGGGCGCATGACAGATTACGAGCCTGGCAGCAGCAACTTGGACAGGAGGACGTTCAGCTTCTGCACCGTCTGGTGCGTGCTCGCAAACTGTTGTCTCTTGGAAACGGATTCCAAGAAAGACTGCTGACGGAATCCGTGAAGAGGAGTAGCAGGAGAAGGAGCATCTGAACGAGCGGAATATGCCAACAAGCGACAACAGGGGCCCATGACAGATTACGGGCCTGGCAGCAGCATAGGAGTCGGTACGGGGGCCCATGGCAGATTAGGGGCCTGGCAGCAGCTATGGGAGGCCCGTAATCTGCCAGCACCCTATGACAAAAAATGGAACCCACCAGCAGTGTGAGGAGACCTGAAAGTGGCACATGGCAGAGTGTGGCGATGGAGACAGCAGCAATGGGAGGCCGTACAGGGACCCATGAGAGACTCTGGACCTGGCAGCAGCATGAGGAGGCGGTATAGGGGCCCATGGCAGATTAGGGGCCTGGCAGCAGCTATGGGAGGCCCGTAATCTGCCAGCACCCTATGACAAAAAATGGAATACACCAGCAGTGTGAGGAGACCTGAAAGTGGCACATGGCAGAGTGTGGCGATGGAGACAGCAGCAATGGGAGGCCGTACAGGGACCCATGAGAGACTCTGGACTTGGCAGCAGCATGAGGGAGGCGGTATAGGGGCCCATGGCAGATTAGGGGCCTGGCAGCAGCTATGGGAGGCCCGTAATCTGCCAGCACCCTATGACAAAAAATGGAACACACCAGCAGTGTGTGAGGAGACCTGAAAGTGGCACATGTTTGGGGCATGATTCATGGCGGATTTAGTCAGTGTGTGTCAGGAACTGGTGGTTTGAAATCCAGACTAATCCCACGCCTGATTCATTTTCACAAACGTCAGTCTCTCCACACTTGGGTGGACAGTCGTGTCCTCCGCGGAGTTGCAATACCTCCTGCCGCACTAAACACGCGCTCCGATGCCACGCTACTGGCCTGGCATGACAGCCTTTCAAGGGCAAATTCAGCTAGTTGGGGCCAAAGGTCAAGTTTCGTTGCCCAGTAGTCAAGGGGATTGTCTACCTCGGTTGGCAGGGTGCTGTCCAAGTAGACCCTAAGCCTGTTGTTTGAGGTCCTGCTCCAGGTCCACCTGATGCTGCTGCTGCTGCTGCTGCTGGCTGGTTAGTAGTAGTTTTTCCTCACTGCGCTGGTGAAGAAAGCTACTCATCATCGACTGCAGACTGAGGCAGCCGCTGCTGGTGGAGCTGCCACTGCTCCTACCACCCCACCCCCACCCCTGCTGCCATGGCAGCGGAACGCGAGCGCACAGGGCCCACAGTGTCTGAGGATGGACGTTGGCGCAGACAGGCAGAGACCAGCTGACTACATAGGTGGTTTTTATAGTACGTTATTTTGGCCTCCCTCTCAGCAGGTGTGAAAAAGGCCACCATTTTTGAACGGTAGCGAGGGTCCAACAAGGTGGACAGCCAAAAGTCATCCCTCTGTCTGATGGTTATTATTCGGCTGTGTCGCTACGCAAGCAACCGAGCATGCTATGGGCCATTTGTGCCAAGGAATGCGAGGGACTCCCTGCCTCCATCTCCACAGCATACTGCCACGGTGCGTCTGGGTCCTCTGTCTCCTCCTCCTCCTCCCCTCTACCAGATGCTCCTGCTGCTCCTCCACTCCTGTCCGCTGAGTGGAAAAACCACCCATTTCACTCAATAATTCCTGAGCACCAATGTCCTCCTCTACCTCCTCCTCTTCTTCCTGTCCTGCCCCCACAGGGGTCATGTGGCGTTGAGATCTGTGCGCCACGTCTACCGCACCCTGACCAGCCATTGTTAACAGCATTTGTTCCAGGACGTGCAACAGAGGAATGACGTCGTTCATCCCATAGTCCTGCCGACTCACGAATAGCGTGGCCTCCTCAAAGGGCCTGAGCAAGCGCAGGTGTCACGCATGAGCTGCCAATGGCTGACATCTAAGTTACACAGGGAATACCTTTATCCGCTTTTTAACATCAGGAAATCTGTGATGGCCTTTTGCTGTTCGTAAAGGCGGTCTAACATATGTAGGGTTGAATTCCACACTTGTTGCAACGTAGGCCGGTACAGGGACCCACAGCACCTGGCAGCAGCATGAGGAGTCGGTATAGGGCCCATGGCAGATTAGGGGCCTGGCAGCAGCTATGGGAGGCCCGTAATCTGCCAGCACCCTATGTCAAAAAATTCAACACACCAGCAGTGTGTGAGGAGACCTGAAAGTGGCACATGGCAGAGTGTGGCGATGGAGACAGCAGCAATGGGAGGCCGTACAGGGACCCATGACAGACTCTGGACCTGGCAGCAGCATGAGGAGGCGGTATATAGGGGCCTATGGCAGATTAGGGGCCTGGCAGCAGCTATATGAGGCCCCCGTAATCTGCCAGCACCCTATGTCAAAAAATTCTACACACCAGCACCAGCAGTGTGAGGAGACCTGAAAGTGGCACATGGCATGAGAGACTGGCGATGGACCTGGCAGCAGCATGAGGACAGCGGACCCATATATAGGGGCCAGCATGGCAGTATAGGGGCCTATGGCAGATTAGGGGCCAGCAGCTATAGGAGGCCCATAATCTGCCAGCACCCTATGTCAAAAAATTCAACACACCAGCAGTGTGTGAGGAGACCTGAAAGTGGCACATGGCAGAGTGTGGCGATGGAGACAGCAGCAATGGGAGGCCGTACAGGGACCCATGACAGACTCTGGACCTGGCAGCAGCATGAGGAGGCGGTATAGGGGCCTATGGCAGATTAGGGGCCTGGCAGCAGCTATGGGAGGCCCTTAATCTGCCAGCACCCTATGTCAAAAAATTCTACACACCAGCAGTGTGTGAGGAGACCTGAAAGTGGCACATGGCAGAGTGTGGCGATGGAGACAGCAGCAATGGGAGGCCGTACAGGGACCCATGACAGACTCTGGACCTGGCAGCAGCATGAGGAGAGGCGGTATATAGGGGCCTATGGCAGATTAGGGGCCTGGCAGCAGCTATGGGAGGCCCGTAATCTGCCAGCACCCTATGTCAAAAAATTCTACACACCAGCAGTGTGTGAGGAGACCTGAAAGTGGCACATGGCAGAGTGTGGCGATGGAGACAGCAGCAATGGGAGGCCGTACAGGGACCCATGACAGACTCTGGACCTGGCAGCAGCATGAGGAGGCGGTATATAGGGGCCCATGGCAGATTAGGGGCCTGGCAGCAGCTATGGGAGCCCGTAATCTGCCAGCACCCTATGTCAAAAAAATTCAACACACCAGCAGTGTGTGAGGAGACCTGAAAGTGGCACATGGCAGAGTGTGGCGATGGAGACAGCAGCAATGGGGAGGCCGTACAGGGACCCATGAGAGACTCTGGACCTGGCAGCAGCATGAGGAGGCGGTATATAGGGGCCTATGGCAGATTAGGGGCCTGGCAGCAGCTATGGGAGGCCCTTAATCTGCCAGCACCCTATGTCAAAAAATTCTACACACCAGCAGTGTGTGAGGAGACCTGAAAGTGGCACATGGCAGAGTGTGGCGATGACAGACAGCAGCAATGGGAGGCCGTACAGGGACCCATGACAGACTCTGGACCTGGCAGCAGCATGAGGAGGCGGTATATAGGGGCCTATGGCAGATTAGGGGCCTGGCAGCAGCTATGGGAGGCCCGTAATCTGCCAGCACCCTATGTCAAAAATTCTACACACCAGCAGTGTGTGAGGAGACCTGAAAGTGGCACATGGCAGAGTGTGGCGATGGAGACAGCAGCAATGGGAGGCCGTACAGGGACCCATGACAGACTCTGGACCTGGCAGCAGCATGAGGAGGCGGTATATAGGGGCCTATGGCAGATTAGGGGCCTGGCAGCAGCTATGGGAGGCCCTTAATCTGCCAGCACCCTATGTCAAAAAATTCAACACACCAGCAGTGTGTGAGGAGACCTGAAAGTGGCACATGGCAGAGTGTGGCGATGGAGACAGCAGCAATGGGAGGCCGTACAGGGACCCATGAGAGACTCTGGACCCTGGCAGCAGCATGAGGAGGCGGTATATAGGGGCCTATGGCAGATTAGGGGCCTGGCAGCAGCTATGGGAGGCCCATAATCTGCCAGCACCCTATGTCAAAAAATTCTACACACACAGCAGTGTGTGAGGAGACCTGAAAGTGGCACATGGCAGAGTGTGGCGATGGAGACAGCAGCAGCATGGGAGGCCGTACAGGGACCCATGACAGACTCTGGACCTGGCAGCAGCATGAGAGGCGGTATATAGGGGCCTATGGCAGATTAGGGGCCTGGCAGCAGCTATGGGAGGCCCGTAATCTGCCAGCACCCTATGTCAAAAAATTCTACACACCAGCAGTGTGTGAGGAGACCTGAAAGTGGCACATGGCAGAGTGTGGCGATGGAGACAGCAGCAATGGGAGGCCGTACAGGGACCCATGAGAGACTCTGGACCTGGCAGCAGCATGAGGAGGCGGTATATAGGGGCCTATGGCAGATTAGGGGCCTGGCAGCAGCTATGGGAGGCCCGTAATCTGCCAGCACCCTATGTCAAAAAATTCTACACACCAGCAGTGTGTGAGGAGACCTGAAAGTGGCACATGGCAGAGTGTGGCGATGGAGACAGCAGCAATGGGAGGCCGTACAGGGACCCATGACAGACTCTGGACCTGGCAGCAGCATGAGGAGGCGGTATATAGGGGCCTATGGCAGATTAGGGGCCTGGCAGCAGCTATGGGAGGCCCATAATCTGCCAGCACCCTATGTCAAAAAATTCTAACACACCAGCAGTGTGTGAGGAGACCTGAAAGTGGCACATGGCAGAGTGTGGCGATGGAGACAGCAGCAATGGGAGGCCGTACAGGGACCCATGACAGACTCTGGACCTGGCAGCAGCATGAGGAGGCGGTATATAGGGGCCTATGGCAGATTAGGGGCCTGGCAGCAGCTATGGAGGCCCGTAATCTGCCAGCACCCTATGTCAAAAAATTCTACACACCAGCAGTGTGTGAGGAGACCTGAAAGTGGCACATGGCAGAGTGTGGCGATGGAGACAGCAGCAATGGGAGGCCGTACAGGGACCCATGAGAGACTCTGGACCTGGCAGCAGCATGAGGAGGCGGTATATAGGGGCCTATGGCAGATTAGGGGCCTGGCAGCAGCTATGGGAGGCCCGTAATCTGCCAGCACCCTATGTCAAAAAAATTCTACACACCAGCAGTGTGTGAGGAGACCTGAAAGTGGCACATGGCAGAGTGTGGCGATGGAGACAGCAGCAATGGGAGGCCGTACAGGGACCCATGACAGACTCTGGACCTGGCAGCAGCATGAGGAGGCGGTATATAGGGGCCTATGGCAGATTAGGGGCCTGGCAGCAGCTATGGGGAGGCCCGTAATCTGCCAGCACCCTATGTCAAAAAATTCTACACACCAGCAGTGTGTGAGGAGACCTGAAAGTGGCACATGGCAGAGTGTGGCGATGGAGACAGCAGCAATGGGAGGCCGTACAGGGACCCATGAGAGACTCTGGACCTGGCAGCAGCATGAGGAGGCGGTATATAGGGGCCTATGGCAGATTAGGGGCCTGGCAGCAGCTATATGGGAGGCCCATAATCTGCCAGCACCCTATGTCAAAAAATTCTACACACCAGCAGTGTGTGAGGAGACCTGAAAGTGGCACATGGCAGAGTGTGGCGATGGAGACAGCAGCAATGGGAGGCCGTACAGGGACCCATGACAGACTCTGGACCTGGCAGCATGAGGAGGCGGTATATAGGGGCCTATGGCAGATTAGGGGCCTGGCAGCAGCTATGGGAGGCCCATAATCTGCCAGCACCCTATGTCAAAAAATTCTACACACCAGCAGTGTGTGAGGAGACCTGAAAGTGGCACATGGCAGAGTGTGGCGATGGAGACAGCAGCAATGGGAGGCCGTACAGGGACCCATGACAGACTCTGGACCTGGCAGCAGCATGAGGAGGCGGTATATAGGGGCCTATGGCAGATTAGGGGCCTGGCAGCAGCTATGGGAGGCCCATAATCTGCCAGCACCCTATGTCAAAAAAACACACCAGCAGTGTGTGAGGAGACCTGAAAGTGGCACATGGCAGAGTGTGGCGATGGAGACAGCAGCAATGGGAGGCCGTACAGGGACCCATGACAGACTCTGGACCTGGCAGCAGCATGAGGAGGCGGTATATAGGGGCCTATATCAGATTAGGGGCCTGGCAGCAGCTATGGAGGCCCTTAATCTGCCAGCACCCTATGTCAAAAAAATTCTACACACCAGCAGTGTGTGAGGAGACCTGAAAGTGGCACATGGCAGAGTGTGGCGATGGAGACAGCAGCAATGGGAGGCCCGTACAGGGACCCATGAGAGACTCTGGACCTGGCAGCAGCAGCATGAGGAAGCGGTATATAGGGGCCTATGGCAGATTAGGGGCCTGGCAGCAGCTATGGGAGGCCCATAATCTGCCAGCACCCTATGTCAAAAAATTACACACCAGCAGTGTGTGAGGAGACCTGAAAGTGGCACATGGCAGAGTGTGGCGATGGAGACAGCAGCAATGGGAGGCCGTACAGGGACCCATGAGAGACTCTGGACCTGGCAGCAGCATGAGGAAGCGGTATATAGGGGCCTATGGCAGATTAGGGGCCTGGCAGCAGCTATAGGAGGCCCATAATCTGCCAGCACCCTATGTCAAAAAAAATCTACACACCAGCAGTGTGTGAGGAGACCTCAAAGTGGCACATGTTTGAGGCATGATTCATGGCGGATTTAGTCAGTTGTGTCAGGAACTGGTGGTTTGAAATCCAGACTAATCCACGCCTGATTCATTTTCACAAACGTGAGTCTCTCCACACTTTGGGTGGACAGTCGTGTCCTCCGCGGAGTTACAATACCTCCTGCCCGCACTAAAAACACGCGCTCCGATGCCACGCTACTGGCTGGGCATGACAGCCTTTCAAGGGCAAATTCAGCTAGTTGGGGCCAAAGGTCAAGTTTCGTTGCCCAGTAGTCAAGGGGATTGTCTACCTCGGTTGGCAGGGTGCTGTCCAAGTAGGCCCAAGCCTGTTGTTTGAGGTCCTGCTCCAGGTCCACCTGATGCTGCTGCTGCTGCTGCTGCGGCTGGTTAGTAGTTTTTCCTCACTGCGCTGGTGAAGAAAGCTACTCATCATCGACTGCAGACTGAGGCAGCTGCTGCTGGTGGAGCTGCCACTGCTCCTACCACCACCCCCCCCCCCCTCCCCTGCTGCCATGGCAGCGGAACGCGAGCGCACAGGGCCCACAGTGTCTGAGGATGGACGTTGGCGCACAAAGGCAGAGACCAACTGACTACATAGGTGGTTTTTTATAGTACGTTATTTTGGCCTCCCTCTCAGCAGGTGTGAAAAAGGCCACCATTTTGGAACGGTAGCGAGGGTCCAACAAGGTGGACAGCCAAAAGTCATCCCTCTGTCTGATGGTTATTATTCGGCTGTCGCTACGCAAGCAAACCGAGCATGCTATGGGCCATTTGTGCCAAGGAATGCGAGGGACTCCCTGCCTCCATCTCCACAGCATACTGCCACGGTGCGTCTGGGTCCTCTGTCTCCTCCTCCTCCTCCTCTACCAGATGCTCCTGCTCCTCCACTCCTGTCCGCTGAGTGGAAAAACCACCCATTTCACTCAATAATTCCTGAGCACAAATGTCCTCCTCTACCTCCTCCTCTTCTTCCTGTCCTGCCCCCACACAGGGGTCATGTGGCGTTGAGATCTGTGCGCCACGTCTACCGCACCCTGACCAGCCATTGTTAACAGCATTTGTTCAAGGACGTGCAACAGAGGAATGACGTCGTTCATCCCATAGTCCTGCCGACTCTCACGAAATAGCGTGGCCTCCTCAAAGGGCCTGAGCAAGCGGCAGGTGTCACGCATGAGCTGCCAATGGCTGACATCTAAGTTACACAGGGGAGTACCTTTATCCGCTTGTAACATCAGGAAATCGGTGATGGCCTTTCGCTGTTCGTAAAGGCGGTCTAACATGTGTAGTGTTGAATTCCACCTTGTTGCAACGTCGCAGATCAGGCGATGCTGTGGAATTCCGTTCTGCCGCTGCAGCTCAAGGAGGGTGTTCTTTGCGGTGTAGGAATGGCTGAAATGCATGCAAAGTTTACGTGACATTTTAAGGATGTCTTGCAGTGGGATGGTGGATTTTAAGAACCGCTTGACAACCAGATTGAACACGTGAGCCATGCATGGCGCATGGCACAACCTTCCTTGACGCAGAGCAGACACCATGTTCTTTCCGTTGTCGGTCAACATGGTTCCGATTTTCAGTTTGCGCGGAGACAGCCATCTGTCGATTTCTCTGTTCATTACACTCAGAAGTTCCTCCCCTGTGTGACTACGTTCGCCAAGGCATACCAGGTGCAGAACAGCGTGACACCGTTGCGCCCTGCACATGTGATATGCCGGTCGGGTAATGGGACTTGGCACGGGGGGGGGTGGCGGCTGAGGACACGGCGGAAGAAGAGGTGGTAGAGGCGGACATCTTTGCCGGACCAAGGACGTGCAAACGTGGAGGCAAAAGCGGCGTGACCTGTCCAAGTTGCTGGTGCGGCTGTGACGGCACCACGTTCACCCAGTGGGCCGTAAATGACATGTACTGTCCCTGACCGTAGTTACAGCTCCACACGTCGGCGCTGCCGTGCACTTTGGCAGAGACCGACATGCTCAAAGACTGGCCCACCATGTCTTCTACATGTGAATGCAGGGCTGGCACTGCCTTTTTGGCGAAGAAATGACGGCTTGGCACTCTCTCCACCGCGGCGCGGCACAAGCCATCATTTCTCTGAAAGGTGCTGAGTCCACCACTTGGAAAGGGAGGGACTGCAGCACCAGCAACTTGGACAGGAGGACGTTCAGCTTTTGCACCGTCGGGTGCGTGCTCGCAAACTGTTGTCTCTTGGAAACGGATTCCAAGAAAGACTGCTGACGGAATCCGTGAAGAGGAGTAGCAGGAGAAGGAGCATCTGAACGAGCGGAAGATGCCAACGAGCGACAACTCCCCTCAGCAGAGGTGTTGGAGCCTTGACTGGCTGATGGAGGGCGATTGACGTCGGGTGACGGAGCAAGTAACGGAGCGGGTGATGGAGCGGGGGCTGGGGCGGGCAGAACCGCCGTATCTTTATCACGGTTTTCCCAGGCCACCAAATGGCGACGCTGCATATGCTGCCGCAACGCTGTAGTCCCAACATGGGCCCCCTGGCCACGCTTGACTTTCTGGCCACATAGTCGACATACGGCTACGTTTACTTCCTCGGGGCGGCTTGACGAAAAATTGCCACACCGCCGAGTAGGAAACTTTGCCCCCGATACTCCTCACTGGCTGACTGCTGCCTCCTCCGTGCACACCGTGCACACCGGCACCACTACTGGCCGTGGTGGTAGGCTGCAGTGGAGCTGGTGCTCTACTCCGTGGCCGTTTGGCTCCACTGACACTGCTGCGACCCTGCTGCTGTCTCCTGGGCAACCCACCGACTGTTTTGCTGCTCGCTGCCAAGCTGCCACCCTCTTCTCCTGATGATGCGGAAGAAATTGCCTGATGACGACGAGGCTGCCAAGTGCGATCAACCTCCTCATCATCAAGTAGGGTCTCCGCCTCACTACTAGCCCCCTCGGCTGCGTCTGGGTCAGGAGACAGACCTGTCTCTAGACCGGCTACCGAGCCACTCTCCTCGCCACTACTTCTTCGCCTGGCTGCTGAAAAGGCGGATGTCTCCCCCCGTTCCTCCTGACCGCCCTCTGTTAGCTCTTCCTCACTGTACAGTGGGGCTGAGCCCACAGCATGCGATACTTCGCTTGGTGAGGGAACACCAAAGGACAGGGGCAGGTAGAGGACACGTGATTTCAGTGGGCTTGGTCCCGGGCCATGCCAACTAACGGTTGTGTCTGACGACGTACCCACCGACCGTTGGCTGTAGGTGTCAGAGGTGACCTGGGAAGAGGAAGACGACCGAGCCAACCAATCGACGACGGCAGGGTTGTCGGTGGAGACACGACCGCTGGATGACACCGGGAGCACTGGCCTCTGGCTGCGAATAGTGCTGCCTCGACCCCTTCCTCTGCTGCCACGTCTGCTCGCTCCTAAAACATTGCCTCCTCTGCCACTCCTCTGCATGTTGTCTGACATACTCTTTAATTAAACGATTATGTGTCCCTGAGTAACAATTCTGTGTCCCTGAGTAACAATTCTGTGTCTGTGCGAGTAACAATTCTGTGGCCCTAAGTAACAGTTCTGTGGCCCTCAGTAACAATTCTGTGTCCCTGATTAACGTTTCTGTGGCCCCAAGTAACAGTTCTGTGGCCCTCAGTAACAATTCTGTGTCTGTGCGAGTAACAATTCTGTGTCTGTGCGAGAAACAATTCTGTGGCCCTAAGTAAAGTTTCTGTGGCCCTAAGTAACAATTCTCTGGCACTCAGTAACAATTCTGTCTGTCCCTGAGTAACAATTCTCTGGCACTCAGTAACAATTCTGTCTGTCCCTGAGTAAAAATTCTGTGGCCCTAAGTAAAGTTTCTGGGGCCCTGAGTAACAATTATCTGGCACTCCGTAACAATTCTGTCTGTCCCTGAGTAACAATTCTCTGGCACTCAGTAACAATTCTGTCTGTGTCCCTGAGTAAAAATTCTCTGGCCCTAAGTAAAGTTTTGTGGCCCTGTGGCCCTGAGTAACAATTCTCTGGCACTCCGTAACAATTCTGTCTGTCCCTGAGTAACAATTCTCTGTGGCACTGGCCCTGAGTAACGTAACAATTCTGTCTGTCCCTGAGTAACAATTCTGTGGCACTCAGTAAAAGTTTCTGTCTGCCCCTGAGTAAAAATTCTCTGGCCCTAAGTAACAATTCTTTCTGTGGCCCTGAGTAACAATTCTCTGGCACTCAGTAACAATTCTGTCTGTCCCTGAGTAACAATTCTCTGGCACTCAGTAACAATTCTGTCTGTCCCTGAGTAAAATTCTGTGGCCCTAAGTAAAGTTTCTGTGGCCCTGAGTAACAATTCTCTGGCACTCAGTAACAATTCTGTCTGTCCCTGAGTAACAATTCTCTGGCACTCAGTAACAATTCTGTCTGTCCCTGAGTAACAATTCTCTGGCACTCAGTAACAATTCTGTCTGTCCCTGAGTAAAAATTCTGTGGCCCTAAGTAAAGTTTCTCTGGCCCTGAGTAACAATTCTCTGGCACTCCGTAACAATTCTGTCTGTCCCTGAGTAACAACAATTCTCTGGCACTCAGTAACAATTCTGTCTGTCCCTGAGTAAAAATTCTCTGGCCCTAAGTAAAGTTTCTGGGCCCTGAGTAACAATTCTCTGGCACTCAGTAACAATTCTGTCTGTCCCTGAGTAACAATTCTCTGGCACTCAGTAACAATTCTGTCTGTCCCTGAGTAACAATTCTCTGGCACTCAGTAAAAAGTTTCTGTGTGCCCTGAGTAAAAATTCTGTGGCCCTAAGTAACAATTCTGTCTGTCCCTGAGTAACAATTCTCTGGCACAACAATTCTGTCTGTCCCTGTAAGTAACAAACTCCGTAACTTCTGTCTGTCCCTGAGTAACAATTCTCTGGCACTCAGTAACA